TTTTTTTATTGAAATATTATTTGTTATTGAAATATTATTATTATTATTATTATTATTAATAATTGGTATTGAAGTTTTTAGGTAATATTTATAACCACAGTATATTGATCTTGCCATGGATCTGCATAATGCATAAATAAACAAAAATACGGAAATTGAAATGGCATGTCCTTCTAAAAAAAATCATAATAAATGTAATAATCGATGTAATTAATTAATTAGTAATAATAATGTAATTAATAATACAATCTAATTATAAACAATGTAGTAGTAGTAGTAGTGTGTAGAAATATATCATTTATTGTTTTTATAATGTATGTCATGTCTAATATATTATCAGATCTTTACAACAAAATAATTGTAGTATGAGAATATAACAGACTTGTCTTAATAGAATTGCCCTCATTAAATTCTAATTTATATTATTATATCAATTACCTTATGAGTGTTATTTTACTAGTGACTTAAATGTAGTCTTAATCTTTCCTAGTTCCTATGTGCTATCATTATATTATTAAATACTATTAAGCATTATTATTTGCATAAAAATATAGGATTTGTTTCAAATTTAGAGTCAAACATGATGCTTAAGTTTTAGTATATGCGTCATTAAATAATATTAAATCACAATTACATGGTAATTTATTTAAAATTTGCATATTTAATATATTATGAGTGTTGTTTTAACAGTAAAATCCTAACAGCATTTGTAATATTAAAAGGATTTGTAGAGAGGAACTCTTTAATAATAATTCTGTGCTACTTTAATGTCAGAGTTGCCCAAAAAATAGGTTCCGAAAATAGCCTTTATTTTCTGTATGCAAAACGATCAGCGTCCGTGTTGATTTTGAAGTGTAATGTGTGAGTGCGAGTGGGCATGTTTCTGCAGTGTTTGGTTGAGCTTCACCCGCTGATGTTTCTGAGTCATCAGATTGCTCGGTGTCAGCGGTGTGACTAGAGATTGATTAATCCGAGAGCGAGGACTTCGTTTATTTGTTGCTCATTAGCTGATTCCTTCAACCCTGGCTCTTTAGTGCGTTGTATTCCAACTAATGGATTCCTTTGCCATTTATAGCTACAGTTAAAGTCAGAATTTTTAGCCCTCCTGAGTTATTAGCCCCCCTGTATATTTTTTCCCATTTTGTTTGGTGGAAAAAAGATTTCTTCAACACATTTTCAAAGATAATAGTTTTAATAACTAATTTCTAATAATTGATTTATTTTGTCTTTGCCATGATGACAGTAAATAATAATTTACTAGATATTTTTCAAGATGCTAGTATTCCGCTTAGGCCCCGTTTACACTAATTAGTTTTAAAACAGCATTTGACAATGGAAACGATCCATGTCCACACTGGAGTTTTACGCAGAAAATGCACATCACATGACCACACACACACACACACTCTCTGGTGTGCGCTGTAGCATATGTGAACGTCTGAGCTCCAGGCAGTCAGCGGGTGCTTTTAGCACAGAACCCCAGGTGAGAGCTGTGCACGTTGGACGGTTCATCAAGGACCTTCCGCTGGATCTCATCTCAATATATTTGTCATACATATTTAATTCATCTTGTTGTCTACATCTGACGTCATATTCCCCTACTTTAGTCTTTTGAATAAATTGTTATCAGAAAACAAGTTCTGGCTGAGTGCAAAGATAAGTTATATTAATTTATGTAACCACGTACACTGATTGGTTGCCATTATTTGCTATATTGTATAAACTTATTGTATGCTATATTTTTTAAATGGGCTATTATTGATTATTAAAACTGATATTCTGCAAAAGAGGCAGTATATGTTTCATGGTTTTCAATGAAAATGAAAGGAGGCAGTTATGTTATAGGCTCCGTTTTGTTATGCATACAGTGAAGATGACGGTCATAAAAACATGTAGCTACACGATGCCTCAACAGTTTTTGCTGTCTGTTACGTTTTCGTTTTTTGTTAAGATAGTGAAACAACATAGCCAGGGTGATGTGAATGAGTTTATAAAGCAGCTTACGCTGTTCCCTCTGAAAAATGTGACGTGTCCTATGGAGTTTGTTTTTCATATCAAACTTGCGAAGTCTGAAATACAAGGAAAGGATGCAAGGCTGAACTGTGTGCAGGCTACTTAATATTGAGGAAAAAGCCCCAATCAGATTGGTAAATGTCTGCATCCATCCTGTTTTCAGATGTTTTCACCATCCACACTGACTCGGAGCAGCAGCATTTTAAAACTAAAATTTATCTTCAGCTTTACCTAGACGCTCCTTTTTCAGCGCTCAAACTTTGAGGTCGTGGATGAAAGACATAACCATTGCAAAACTTGTGTGTTTTTAAACTAAAACATAGTAGTTTAAACAGGGACTAAAATTCAGCTAAGGTAATTAGGCACGTCCTTGTGTAACGATTGTTTTTGTAGATGATTAAAATAAAATAAGGAAGTTAATAATATTGACCTTAAAATGTTTTTAAAAAATTTTAAGGCTGCTTTAATTCTAGCCGAAATAAAACAAAAAACTTTCTCCAAAATAAAAAATATTATCAGACATACTGTGAAAAATTCCTTGATCAGTTAAACATTTGGGAAATATTTAAAAAGAAATTAAATTCACAGCTAATAATTTTGACTTCAACTCTATTTGATGTGTTTGGAGATGTGAGTGTTTTTAATCTCCTGAGACCCACCCTTTTTGTAATAAAAGACATTAGATGTTTTTTTTTTTTTTTTTTTTTTTTTTTTTTTTTTACAATATTGTTCAGAAATGGCAAAAAACATCCACAGATTTTGTCTGGCCCTGGAAATCAATAATCGTTTTAAGTGACAAATCCTGATTGAAGCATGCCAACAACTTGAAATGCAATGAACTACAAGCACACTAAGAAAATATTTACTGTACTATATCAAAACAATGTGTCCTTTTGGTTTTTTCAACCATGCAGTTTTGTCTCAATTCAACTTATAGTCAGATATGACTGACTTTTTTGTAAATAGAATATTAGGGATTTATTTTTTTTATTTAAGTCAATTATGTCTTATCTTACAGTTTGAAATAGAATTACCCAATCAAATTATGTTTTTTACATGCGTGAGTAAAATGAATGCTCACATTGGCTTTTGGTGGCACTGACCGGTAGGATTTCACTGAACCGTTCTGTTTTGTGTAAACTGAAAACAAAACGGTAATCTTTTTTTTTTCTTTTTTTTTTCCATTCATCATATCGTCACCTGTCTTTGCTTTTATTATCAAGCGTGTTATTTAAACACAACCTGTAGCTATAACTGCCTTCGCACCAATGGTTCTTTTTTTTTTTTTTTTCACTTGGTTGTGTATGTGGTTTTTCACCTGACGCATTAATGAAACTGAATGGCTCTTAGTGATGTTTCAGTTCTATAAATGTACAAGAGCCATTTGATTATCTTTAGTACTGTTTTTGGCATCCATTGGCTAAATGAAGCCCTGCGTCTGCATCGAGAGCTAATTGTTCGGTTTCAGGAAGACTGAATCATGGTTGTGTTTTTCCGCATGTCCTTCTCTCCGAGTGAGAGATCAGAAAGGTGAAGCAGCAGGGGTAGAGAGAGAGAGAGAGAGAGTGTGTGAGAGAGTGAGTGAGTGAGAGAGTGAGTCTGCTTTTACTGCACTTTGAGCTTCAGGACAAAACACCTGAACATAAACATGTATGAATACAGCATTTAAGGTGAAAGATTTGTTTTGGCATGACATGCAATCAGCATTAGTAATGTTTTTTTCTTTTAAGGAGCAATGTTTAAACCCTTGAATTGGAGCAATATTCCGTGCAAATGCCAACATTGGTATTAAAAAAAAAAACACATTTTTAAAGTTTTAATCAAGTAGTTTTTTTGTGTGTGTGTAGGCATTAGTGTTGGGCAATGTCGACCAATTTGGCATTGTACGATGTCTAATATGAAACATTGAGATGGACGATGGCATCGTCGTCATAGGCGGCGGTAGAGCTGCATGATTCTGGCTAAAATGAGAATTGCGATTTATTTATTTATTTTTTTGCTTGAAATAAAGATCACAGTTTTCTCATGATTCTGTAAATGTAAAATAAAGCTTAATATGTAAATAATAATATTATTATTATTATTATTTTACAAACATGGTAAAACAAAAGTACATATGGTAAAACAATAATAAATGAAACTGTGTCAGTCCAGTTTTTAAAGTATAAGTTCAGTTTAGCTCAGTTCAGTGGGGTTTAATATTCACTAAGAGTATAAACACTGAAGAGCAAGTCCATCATGCGCAGCTCGTCAGGTCCCGAACTATGCAAGCCAATGGCGACAGCGGAGAGGGAAAAACTTCACTGATTGGTTAAGAATTAAAAAACCTTGAGAGAAACCAGGCTCACTTGGGCACAACCATTTCACCTCTGGCCAAACCTCTTGTGCAGAGTTGCAGTCTAGGTGCCGGGGCTGGAGAAAGCGTGCAAGACTTGAGTCTGGATTGGAAATGAAGAGCTTTTACACGCAAAAGATGCGATTATTGGAATGGCCCTTTGTTAATAGCCTCAGCTATAGCTAATCCAGAGTGCATGGGTATTAGCCTCGTGTACAAGCTCAGAAATTTAAACTAGCGCACAGTTGGCATAACTTTGTTTAGTTGCAGCCATTTTTTTCTTTTTGCAGGAATGCAGTGTTGAGAAGCTTTTACAATAAACCAACCATGACGAATTAAATCACAGTTAATAGTGAAATTGGTTAATCTTTGCATCCCTACCGGCATTATGACTATTCCAAATTCACAAATTGTGATCTTGATGCTGAAACGGTTTCATCCCACATGTGTGAAAGCACATTAAGAATTTGTGAGAATGCGACTTGTGTGCAAATAAACGTTTTTGTATGTGGCATATCGTAATCAATATTGATCAGTTAAAACCAAAACATGCATTAGTAAAGAATCTTCGGTCAACAAGTTCTGCTTTTAATTTGTGCTTGTGAAATGCATGATCCAAATAATTAATCCTTTATTCCTTTCTGATCTGCAGCGGACATTATCTCAACCGTCGAATTTAACTATTCTGGGGAGTTACTAGCCACAGGAGACAAAGGGGGAAGAGTCGTCATATTTCAGCGAGAACAGGAGGTAATGCAACTCAAAGACTTTATTTTTAATCTTATTAGTAAGTGTGACTCAATCAGAGTGCTATTATATGCGTGTGTGTCCATGTTTATGTCCACAGAGTAAAAACCGCCCGCTCTCAAGAGGCGAATACAACGTGTACAGCACTTTTCAGAGTCACGAGCCCGAGTTTGATTACTTGAAAAGTTTAGAAATCGAGGAGAAGATCAATAAAATCAGATGGCTGCCGCAACAGAACGCTGCGCACTTTCTACTGTCCACAAACGGTAAATGCTGCAAGTTAAACGTTTGATTTCATTATGCACTACAGTACAATTCAAAAGTCTGGCATCAGTGTTTTTGCTGTCAGAAATTCATAATTTATTCAATAAAAAAAGAGTGGGGGGGGGGGGGGGTGGATTGGGGCTGCCATTATTGCTCCTCCATCATAGCTCCTCTCGCGATCTGTTCCCTTGCTTATTCACTCCCGTCACTATGAATTCCTGGTATTTTAATTAATTTTGGGGGATCACTGAGCCGGTATGAATTTGCGGAAGACACGCAGAGCTTTCGGGAGAGGTCATAACTATTCAATTCAATTCAGCTTTACTTGTATAACGCTTTTACAATGTAGATTTTGTCAAAGCAGCTTCACATAAATGGTCATAGTAACTGGAACAGTGTGGTTCAGGTTTTAGTGTTTAAGTTCAGTTCAGTTCAGTTTAGCTCAGTTCAGTGTGATTTAATCGTTACTGAGAGTTCAAACACTGAAGAGCAAATTCATTGATGCGTAGCTCTACCAATCCTGAACCATGCGAGGCAGTGGCGACAGCGGAGAGGGAAAAAAAACTTCACCTGATGGGAGTGAAGAAAAAAAACCTTGAGAGAACCAGACTCAGTTGGGCAAGACCATTTTAATTTCACCGCTGGCCAAAAGTCTTGTGCAGAGCTTCATTCGCCGTGGTGGAGGCTGGAAGATGGCCTCAGCGAAGACTCGTCTGTCCCTGGAGCGTTGCTGGAATCAGACTCATGTTCTCCACTCCCCACGACCATCAGCACAGCAGCAGCTCAGGATATGGCCTGGTCCCGGATATGGAATCCTTGGGATCAAGGATTAAACTAGACACTAGATAGAGGAGATAGCTCCGCTCGCATCACAGCATGGGATGTGCGCAACGCATCTGAAGAGCAGAGAGGGATGCGGGATGTATTTGAGGACTTGGCGGGAGATGTGCAATTTTCGTGAGATTATCATTCGTTTGTGGCCATCCGGGAGTCTCTATGCCAGGGGTCACCAATCTCGGTCCTGGAGGGCCGGTGTCCCTGCAGGGTTTAGTTCCAACTTTTCTCAACACACCTGCCTGAATGCTTCAAGTATACCTGGTAAGACCTTGATTAGCTCGTTCAGGTGTGTTTGATTAGGGTTGGAGCTAAAATATGCAGGTCCCGTTTTTTTAAAAGGTATAATCCGGATCAAATTGATCTATTTAGTAATCCTTGTTTTGCGATCCGTGATCACGTAATCCAGCTTACTTTTTAAGCCAGTTTTTCAAAGCAACATTAGATTGGATCAATCTGATCCGGATAGGAACTTTTCAGGATCACTAAATCTGGATAACCAGTGCTCAATCACAATGTAGATGGATAGATAGGCCTATGTACAGTAAAAAGCAACAAGTAGAATAGCCAGTGTGGGGCCAATATAACTTATTAATATAACTATATTTTTATTTGAAATAAAAACACACACATAAAACAATAAAAACCCCACCCCATCCTCTTCCAGCAATCAACTCATCTGAGACCTGCAACACAAACACTGTACATTGAGGTATTTATAATGTTTCAAATATAGATGTAAATAAAAAAAAAAGACTTAATTTCAAAAACTCCACAATAAGTTCAGTCTTCCTCATCTGATGTGGAGATCAGCTTGTCTGAGCAAAGCCTTTAGGAGGCAGATCTCAAGTCTGGCCTTGGTTTGCTGCAGTTTGGTCAGAGTCGGTTGTTCCTTTGCCAGATGAAGTTGTGCTTCTGCCCTTTCAGTCTCTTTTTGCAATTGTTGAAAGATTTCAAAAATCATTGATTGCCATTCTTTGCATTTTTTTGGTTGTTCTGTAATTATTGCATGCATCACTAATAAATATTCTAAACACAAAAATATTTTCTATTGTGATGAATATATTTATATTAATTAGTAACGGAATAAAAATGATTGTTTTTGGTCAATTTTGACAGCTGTTTGGGGGATTGTTTTATGAGGCCAAGCTATTTCTACTTTTCTGTAGGCCTATACTGAAAGGCTGAGTATGTTAAAGCCAATAATTACTATAGCCTGACAGATGAACAAATAAAATTAAAACCTTATGAATAAATAGTATACATCTCGTAAGATACTGCATGATCCAAAAATAATATTATTTAATACATTTAAGTTTTCATTACATTTTGGGCATGAAATCCACACTAAATCCACCCTCCTGATGGGATCAGTTTAATCCAGGTTTTTTGGATCAAAGTGATCCAAATCCTACAAAAAAGGTCTGAAAACCCCAAAGTAAAGGTTTGATCCGGATCCAAACCAAGACTGGATTACCAGATCTAATCCGATTAGGTAATCTGTTTTTTCTTTTGAAAAACCCATTTTCAAGATTTGATCCAATCCCTTATCCAAAATCCTAGTGGATTACTTTTGGAAAAACCGGGCCCAGGACACCGGCCCTCCAGGAACAAGTTTGGTAACCACTGCTCTATGCATTTGCTGGAGACATTTAGCTGCAGTGACTCGAGCGTAGAACTGAAATGACATGCTGTTGTTTAAATGAGATATTACATACGGCTGTTTAGCTTGTTTATTAAAAATAGCTGTAATCTGGCGCTATATATGAAATACAATTAATGTGAATTTAACCCCTTCAGACCTGAATTATGTTCCAAATTTCAGAAAAATGGGATGTCATGTGATGTCCATTGAAATGGACGCAGGGTCTGAAGGGGTTAAGGGGGCGGGGACAGCCGTTGGGAGGGCGGGGTGCCCCTCTTATGTAATGATAGGGAAAACATTGCGTTGTATAACCATCGTTTGTTTTGTTGTCAATTGAGAAAAAATATTGCTTAAGAAGGCTAATAATATTGGCCTTTAAAATGCTTTTATTCTTGCCGAAATAAAACAAGACTTTTACTAGAAAACAATTGTATGGGAACTACAGTGAAAACATCTCTTGCTCTGTTAAACCTAATTTGTGAAACATTTAAAAGATAATAATATACAGGAGGGCGCATAATTTTGACTTCTACTGTACATATTTTTTTCTCAGGTTAATGAAAAATGTGAGCTCCTAGGTTTTAAATCTGCAATTTTTTTTCCTGTAACTGATGTTTGCATTTTTGTGTCCCTTTCAAAAAGACAAAACCATCAAATTATGGAAGATCAGCGAAAGGGATAAACGAGCAGAAGGATACAACCTTAAAGACGAGGACGGACGACTGCGAGATCCGTTTCGAATCACATCACTACGGGTTAGTCTGTCTCTCTTCTCCTGCAGCAGCACTGGTTTCTAGTTAAATATTGAATGAGATTGAGAGCTGTGGACGTTTCTAGAAATTGTCATCTATGGAGTGCGTGGTGTATGATGCGTGTTGATAATACTGCAGTGGATGATGGGATGTGGTTGTCTGTTATTTATATTAGTATTTACATTAATAACATTTATACTTGAGAATTATGAAGAAATGTGTACAGAGCAGGACGTTGCTTGCATGTCAAGAAGAGAACTGCTTGGTAGTTTGAATAGTGCATTTGTCTTGTAACTAGTGATTAGCTAATGTAATGTGTATTTATATAGCGCATTTATCGTGTATGACATCGGTTTAACGTCTCATCCGAAAGACGGCGCCCGCTGACAGTGTAGTGTCCCCTTCACTTTTACTGGGGCATTAGGACTCACATAAACCACAAGTTGAGCGCCACCTGCTGGCCTTACTAACACCACTTCCAACAGCAACCTAGTGTTCCCTAGTGTCTCTCATCCAGGTACTAACCAGGCTCAGCCATGCTTAGCTTCAGTGAGTAACCGGTCTTGGGCTGCAGGATGATATGGCTGTGATATAGCTAATGGTATTAATTTGCTTGTAAGTGTAACTTTTTATCAAAAATGATGTAGTTGATACCAAAGAGCTTAGAATGACCAAAAGGCGACACTCAATAGAATGTTCCATTGCCGCAGCAGCGCCCAGCAACAGCCCCGGATTCAGCCATTTTGGAGTGAAAGCCGTCGGCTGTCCATTGGGTCTTATTGCTGTTGCGATGGCAAGCAGCTGCTTTGTTTTTTATTTATTTATTTAAAAAGTGCATTAAACCTGAGATACAACCTGAAAGACGACAATAAAACACTTAGTATCACAATCATCTGCACTTTTAATAGTTTATTTTACAGACTTGTAATATGCTGTTGTTCTATTGGAATTTTCCAAAATGGTTTCCCAAATCGCACTCGAGTGTCGCCACTTGGTGATTATATGCTCTTTGTTGATACTTATCTACTAACTAAGTTTAAAATGCAAAACATTTTAAAAACAAATCAATATTAAATGCTTAGTTATCAAAATATAAAATGTTGTTTTTTCTGTTGTGCTGTAAAACAAGAGTAACAAACTGTAAAAAAAAATATATATATTTATATATAATACTTTCATTTATGTATTTATTTATTTTTTACTATTTTTTATTTATATTTTATTTATTTATTCATACAACAGTTCTGTCTGGTTTTCGAATCTGATTGGCTGATGGCTGTGCAATATTTTACATTCGTACAGCCTCTTCACCCTCCAGCCGTGTATTACTTCGCCCACATGTAATGATAGCAGATCAGTAAACTCACTACAGTTTGAAAAATATTGCAGCTGTTGGACAACATAATGTACTTTTGAGGCTTTTTGTTTTAGGTGAGAATGTAGTTTAGATTGCAACTATGCAGTTTCTTTATAAGGGTAGTCCCTAATTTTGGAGATTCAGCGCATTGGCAGAAATCTCTGTAGACTGATGGCATCTCATGCCATGCAGGCTTATAATCTTGAAATATGAGCAAAATCAGCTGTTTTGTCATAATTTTAGACATTACGCTAGAGAGTCATTCAAATACTAGCTCTAAAGTGACATTTTGAAGTAGCAATGGTTTCTGACATCAGCTACAGATGTAAATGAATGGCGGAAGAAAGTAGTTCCTCACACAAAGGGGTTTTTGAGACTCTGTTTGATTTTCTATTTTATATACACAATTATGCCGTCAAACTGTTGTATAAATGCAATATCACACTTATAGCTGTGCAATATGGCTGTATATCTTTACTAGTGGGACACTAAGGCACGTGATATAAGTCATGTGATATTGTACTCATTAATTCTCTTTTTATTTATTTGAGTTTTCTGTTTATTCTTTTATTCAAATTGTATTATGGGACTTGTGCAGTTATCTTGCTCTGACAAGGTTAAATGTTGAAAAGTTTAACAAAGTTAGTTTTAATCATGTGTATTAGTATTAGTAGTTTAAAATGCAAACATAGTTTAAAAAAATCACTGTTAAACTGGATTTAGAATAATTAATTTATTAACAATTGCTTTCTAGACGAGCAAAAATATTGTCTTGTTTTCAGAAATAAGTAAAATATATGTTTAAAATATAAGATTATTTTGCTTGTTTTCTCTCTATTTTGGTTTATTATTTTTGAAAACAGTACAGTATTTTTTAGTGGTCTAGAAAATGCTTATTGCTTTAAGAATATTTAGATATTTTAACTAGAAACTAGACAAACTAAGAATTTATTTTTGCAGTGTGACATGAAAAGTTGTATGAATCTATGAATAATGTTTATTAAATTATGCTTGATTTTTATATAAATTTTAATAATATTTAACGTTATTTTATTTATGTACTTATTGTTTAAAATGCTTGATTGAGTCTAGACCATTTTGAGGGATGTATTAACAATGGTTCCAACGTATTTCCTGTTTTACATTTTTAATTTCTACAGCTACTGTAAATTTAAAAAGAGCCACATATCGATAAATAATGTTATGAAAGCTGCTTTAACATTAAGTCATGATTGAATTGCCTCTTGTTACAGTTATGAAAAAGTTTCAATCAATCAGGAAATGTTTTTTGCCCTCATACTTGACTGACAAGTTTTATATATCATCTAAAGGCATCTCTGGCGCAGCTTCCAACCATCGTCAATGTAGTGCAAAATAAGATTCAAGAATGAGTCCATCGTCTTGACCAGAGGTCAGAAGTGGCTACAAAGTGGCCGTAGAATTAGAAATAAGCCACAGCCTTTAACAGAGCAGGGTCACATGACACATAGGGAAAGTCATTGAAAAAATCATCCTGGTCGCTTATATGTTCGGATTGTTAATTTCGATTACTTTTGAATTAATTGCCCAGCCCTATATTTTAGTTTATTATAGTTTTTAAAAGTTTTTATTAAGAAAGTTTATACTGAAAAAA